CTCTAGCATCGGCAGTTCCTACTATATCACACATATTTGGAGTTGTGCCCTTATTGATATTATTATACTTTATTCACATATAATCGATCAACCACACGAACTCCATTTCACAGTAAAAGTGACTAAAGAGCAAGGTGGTTACCTTTATACCAAAATATTATTTGTCATGTTGTCATGTAACTATTTTAAGGGCACATGCCTGTCTGGCCTGGAAATAATGCAACACAATAGTTTGTGTATAAATCTGATAATGTTTAATTTCACCACTCACAAGGTGAAATATGAAAAAAACATGAGATAGTAGGAAATGCCGATGCTGAAACTGCCATTCTTCAGAAAAGGGTCCAGACCCGAAATGTCAGCTTTCCTGCTCCTCTGATGCTGCTTGGCCTGCTGTGTTCATCCAGCTCTACACCTTGTTATCTCAGATTCTCCAGCATCGGCAGTTCCTACTATCCCTGTGGGATTGTTGTTGGCTCTTCAACACTTTGAAGTCTCCATTCAATGCAGCAACAAGGAAATGCTAATTAACACTGATCATAATCCACTGGCCTTCAGTGAAACCTTTACTATATGGAGCGAGAGTCTGTTCGGATGGAAATATTATTTGTAATACCGGAATAGATTGTGTATTGCATTGTCCCAAAAGTAAAACGTTGGAACAGATTATAGGTTTAAGAAATGTTGAGACTGTTTAGGGTTGTATGGTGGGGGTGGTAGTGAATGATGGATGGATGGATGGAGGTCTTATGTTGCCTGTTTTATGATGGAATACATTGTCAAATGGCTGGCCCAGTGAGTGGGGACACATTACACGACAACACATGGGAGGAGAGACCAGCATTTACTGGCCATCCCTAATTGCCCCTCAATATGAGTGGCAAGGCCAGCCACATTCACTGAGCAGCCGGAGTCACCACTAGCCCAGATCATGCAAAGGTGACAGATTTTTTCACTGAAAGCGAAGCAGTTGGAATGTGATGACAATCTCCGACAAGATACAGAGCCTCGTTTCATCTTCCAGGTTTATGCTCTGGGTTGAAGTTCCACCAGTTTGCACGGTGGGATATGAAGCTGCCGTGTGGGAGAGGTGGTCTGCGATGTGTGTTTCTGTGTGTGAAAGATGGACTGATCGTGGACAGGTAATTATCCCAGGAAGGGCTCCCTGCTCCTGCGTACAGATCTCACCGATAGATTTTGCCGGGCTGCCATGTTTGACGAAGGGGCTGTTTTCTGGAAGCTCCCCCCAGCTGCTCTCAGCCACCACTCCAGCCCATTGATATGCTGCGCTCAAAACAGAGTCCGTGCTCCCCACCAGTGACAGCGCCTTGCTACCTCCACACCCAGCAGGGACTTTGTGCTGCTTCTGAACTCTACCCACTGCAGGCGTGTTTGTCAGCCAGTAACAGTCCTGCTCCCCAAACACATCCCACCTCCCCTAACCCCAAACTCAGTACCCCTTCTCCCCCTCCCCAATCTCAGTGATAACAGCTAGAATAACACATCAAATTGAAACAGAATTATGTAGGGTATGTAGTTTTAATTCAGACATGAAGGATGTTTTACAAATGTCAGAACTGGGCAATGATGTCCTACCAGTTCTGGAACAGCTGCTGTTCGGTGTGTATACTGATTCATTTCTGAAGCTGGTAACACTCAGCAGGTCTGGCAGCTTCCTGGGTTTAACCTTGAGGCCAAGCTCAGAGCACATTCGACTCAAACCATGCCCTCCCCTTCCTTCTGCACCCATGCTGTCAGAGCTACCTGGAGTTTATTTTAATCGCTGCACTTGCTGCTTTTATTGTAGCGTGACAGCACCCACAGTAGTTTGCTTGTAATCCCTTAGACGCGAGGCTGCAGGGGACTGTATTCAAACTGGCAGACACTGACAGATGGTTAATGAGACCACAGCCGATGTTCACCTTACAGTGCACAGAGTAATGTCATCTGTAACTAACCCAATGGTTGGTTGCTACAAAACCACTCACTTTTGGCAGCGAACAGGTTTTTTCTTCCCCTCATGTTAACAATAAGCTGCTTTTCTTTACCATTTACTCATGAATGTATATTGTGCTATAACAGCAGCCCCACAGAGAATTCAGAGGTTTTCAGCCAGAGACAACTGGAGCCATTTATTTATCGAAGAGGAGGCACAAGGGGACGCCCTTCTTACCCAGCAGACAAAATACTGGAAAGCTGAAGTGTAGGCGGTAAATTGCAGATCAGGCTGCATCAGTGGAGAGAAACTGAGCTAATGTTTCAGGCTGACCACCTTTCGTGTGCTTTTACACGGAGCAGTGTTTCACCTCATGGCAGACACCTGATTCGCTGTGAAATACGGTCAATATATTTTTCCCCACCCAGGAGGATCTCACCAGCGATAATGATTAAACGTCTGATTAACCCCCAGGAAATGAAGTACTCCCTGCCCCTCAAACACTGTGCACATTCTGGCTGGTCTTGCGTTTGGACAGGTTGGCCACAGAACGCAGCACTGCCTCACGACAGCACTGCTGTTAGCCTGGGTTTGAACCCTGAGATCCAGAAAAGAACATGCACTGAGCCCAACAGGAGACCCCTAACAACATTAGGAAACGCCAAACCCTTTGCGATGCACTTTGTAAAGGGACACACCCCAAAGTCAGTTCTTAGAGATTCATGTAAGTCCTCAGATCTTTCTCCCAGGCTTTCTCCTTTGCCTGTTGCCTACGTTCCTCTCTCCTGCTGACTGTAGCAGCTCTCTGAACTCGGCTGTTTGGGGGCTTCGGTTGTTTCACTGCGTCGGAATCATTGGCATTAAAGTGGGTGACTTTTGGTTTCAAATCGCTCTGGAACCCGAGACCCTTCTGATCTCGCTTCAGCACGGTCTTTACTGGAAACTTCTGTCCCTTCCCGGTGGGCCCGAGCCCTGTTTCCCTGTCCCAACCTTCCTTCAACATCATTCTGAAGCCAACGTTGGTTTCTGGAATGAAGTAATAAGTTGGCACTGGCTTATCTTTCTTGTTGAACAAATGTAACGTTGACCTCTCGTGCTGCTCAATACTGTCTTCCTCGTATTGCACTTCACAAATCTGACAGTATTTCTTTTGCCGTGGCCTCTCCCTGGAAAAGTAGGGACAGTCCATCAGCATTTTAGAATTCAGCACACTGGATAACATCACCTTTTTCATCACTATATCACTGCAGAAAAGACAGCCTCACCTCTGACAGGAGCACTGTAACATTAAATGAGATTACAGGGGGAGCGGGGAAGAGACAGCGAGCGAACAGAGACAGACTTGGGGGGAAGAGAGAGAGACACAGGCAGGCAGAGGTTAAAAAAAAAGACAACTTATTACCCATCCCTAATTGCCCTCAGTAGGATAGTGGCCTTACTAAGCTGGTGCAGTCCATCTGCGCTGACTTTTCTGCAGAAACTGTGCAACTCCTTTGGCCATTTCAGAGTATAACTGGGAGTCCACCCCAATGGATGCAGTTCTGGAGTAGGCCAGATTGAGTAAGGACAGCAGATTCTCTTCCTGAAAGGCCATGAGTGAATGAACCAGATGGGTTTTTAACAACAGCCAATAATCCCCTTTACTGACAGAGTAGGTTTTTAGTTCAGGATGTATTAATTAATTAAATTTATTTTCCCTAATACATATCAGCTACTGCAGCGGGATTTGAACTCATGTCCCTAGTGCATTACTCGGTGTTTGGGATTACAAGTGGCCTGTTCATTCTATCACACATCCTAGGCAAAATCTTTTAAGCTCCAATGGGCACATGGTGCTGCCTATACTTGGAGGGATAGTGGCTGCCATTTCCTGCCTAGAGTCATGTACATCAGTATGGAAACAGGACTCTGAATGTACACTGCAAACCAGGAATGCATTTTATCCAGACTAAGGGATACCTGCAGTCAGAAAATCAGTCAAATTATGCTTCAGTAATTCTTTTCAGTGGAAGTTTGTTCATGTATTGCAGCATCTGTGAGACTTCACCCTCAGTGGTGATTCTAAGTTACCACCATGTGTTTGCTCTGGCAAGAGGACTGAAGGCTTGTACTCCAAAACTTGCCACGATCTTCCTGTACAGCTACAACACTGTGTCTACCTGACAATGTGGAAAACTGCCCAGGTAATCCAACCTGGCCAATTACTGCCCCAGTCTACTCTCAATCATCAGTAACGTGATGGAAGGTGTCACCAAAAGCACTATCTCAGCAATAACCTGCTCAGTGACGCTCAGTTTGGGTTTCGCCAGGGCCACTCAGCTCCTGACCCCATTACAGCCTTGGTTCAAACAGAGGTGAGGGTGACAGCATTTGACATCAAGGCTGCATTCGACCGAGTGTGGCATCATGGAGCCCGAGCAAAACTAGAATCAATGGGTATCAGGGCAAACTCTCTGGTGGTTGAAGTCAAACCTGACCCATAGGAAGGTGGTCGTGGTTGTGGGAGGTCAGTCATCTTAGCTCCAGGACATCTCTGCAGAAGTTCCTCAGGGTAGTGTCCCAGGGCCAACCACCTTCAGCTGCTTCATCAATGACCTTCCCTCTATTAACATCTTTAGGGAAGGGAACCTGCTGTGTCTACCCAGTCTGGCCTGCAGGTGACTCCAGATCACAGCGACATGGTTGACTCTTAAACTGCCAAATGCAGTAAGTATCCAGGTTTGGGCTGACAAGTAGCAAGGAACAATCGCGCCACACAAGCGTCAGGCAATGGCTATCTCCAATAAGAGACAATCTAACCATCTCCCCCTGACATTCAATGACATTACTATCACTGAATCCCCCACTACCAACTTCCTGGGTGTTACCATTGATCAGAAACTCAACTAGACTTGCCACATAAGCACAGCGGCTACAACAGGAGGTCCGAGATTAGGAATCCTGCAGTGTATAACTGACCTCCTGGCTCCCCAAAGCTCCACCATCTAACTGATGAGTTCAGTCCCAACAACACTCAAGAAGCTTGATACTATGCAGGACAGTGCAGCCTGTTTGATTGGCACCACATCCACAAACATTCACTCCCTCCCCCACCAACGCTCAGTCGCAGCAGTGTGTACTATCTACAAGATGCACTGCAGAAACTCACCAAAGATCCTCAGGCAGCCCCTTCCAAACCCACGACCCACTTCCATCCAGAAGGACAAGGGCAGCAGATACATGGGAACACCAGCCCCCTGCAAGCTCCCCTCCGAGCCACTCACCATCCTGACTTGGAAATATATTGTCGTTCCTTCAGTGTCGATGGGTCAAAATCCTGGAATTCCCTCCCTAAGGGCATTGTGGGTCAACCTATAGCAGATGGACCGCAGCGGTTCAAGAAGGCAGCTCACCACCACCTTTAAGGGCAATTGGGGATGGACATTAAATACTGGGCCCAGCCAACAAGGCCTTTCTTTATTGAATAAATTAAAAAGTGCACGTTCAGACAAACTCACTCTTATACGAGCAAAATGATGGAATGCTCCTTTTGACATGGCAACCAACTACCAAATTGTGTGTTATTGCCCAATGATAACTGTGCTTGTACAGCTACTGCTACACCATGTCTAGTATTTTGAAAGCACTGGATTTGTTTTTTGCGAAATTATGAATGTTTAGGCTCTGGAACAATGGCACATTTTCAGTGGTACCATCACAGTGTCAATGTGCAAACAGAAACAGGGACAAGGTGTAAGCTATTCGGTCCATCAAGTCTGTTCTCACATACAACACTATCAAGCCTGAGCTGGCCTTCAATTTCACTTCCCTGCTCGCTCCCCGTACCCCTGGAGACCTTCAGAAGCCAAAAGGTCTGTTCATTCTAACTTTAAATCCATACAATGATAGGGCATCCACAACTCTCTCTGGGGTAGAGAACTTGAAACACAAACAAAATCAGAAAAATTGTTGGAAAAACTCTGGTCACTGGACCCAAAATGTTAACTCTGCTTTCTCTCCACAGATGCGACTAGACCTGCTGAGTTTTTCCTGCAATTTTTTTTTTGTTCCATGAATTCCAAAGGCTCACAATCCTCAGAGGGATGAAATTTCTCATCTCAGTCCCAAACTGATCTGCCCCCAGCAACCTCCCTCAGTTTCTACCCTGTCAGATCCCTACAGAATCCTGTAGGTTTGAGTGAGATCTCTTGTGATTGTTTCCAACCCCAGAGTACAGCGAAGCAGCTTACGTGCTGTTTGTGTTCACATTCTGACTACCTAGCTTTTTTTTTCTTTATTCATTAATGGGATGAGAGCGTCGCTGGCTAGGCAGCATTTATTGTCCATCCCTAATTGCCCAGAGGGCAGTTCAGAGTCAACCACATTGCTGTGAGTCTGGAGTCACATGTAGGCTAGACCAGGTAAGGATGGCAGTTTCCTTCCCTAAAGGACATTAGTGAACCAGATGGGTTTTTCCTGACAATCGACAATGGATTCACGGCCATCATTAGACTCTTAATTCCAGATATATTTTATTGATTTCAAATTCCGCCATCTGCCACGGTGGGATTCGAACCCAGATCCCCAGGATGTTATCTGGGTATCGGGATTAACAGTCCAGCAATAATACCTCTAGGCCATCGCCTCCCCTTGCTGGGGATGTGTGAGAGGGTGAAGCACCAGTGGGAATGTTACACAGAACGAGTGACAACATCAAGAGTTGAACCAGGACAGGAGTTGGGAGATCGTGGGGCAAGGGAAAAGGAAGACGTTACATCCAAAATTTGGGATATCACAGAAACTGGCTTGCATCCCAGCATGCTGGGCTGGAACACAAAGCACCAAGTGCTGACAGGATCAAAGAACTGGTGTGGCACAGGAGAAGGCCATTCAACCCTATCATGCCTGCACTGGTTCTACTCCCCAGTGCCCAATCTCCTGCTTTTTCCACTGTGCACCATTTCTATACAAACACCCATCCAATGCCCCTCTGGGAATATCGCAATGAAACCTGCCTCCCCCAACATATCCAGGCAGTCCACACACTCACTACCCGCCTGGAGACAGGAGTCTTTTCCCCTCCTCTCACCTTGGTTCCTGCTGTTTTTCCCGGTGAGGATGAAATTCTTCAAGCATTGTGATGATTTCCACATGCCCAGCCTGCCTGGCCAAATCCAAAGCATCTCGCCCCATGGAATCGCACACTCCAATCCACGCAGCCCCACGGTTCAGTAAGTAATTCACCACCTCTGCCTGCCCGCTGTACGCCGCACACATTGTGGCGGTCCAGTAATAACTGTCCCGGAAATTTATATCACACGTTGCAGTCTCCAGCAACCTGCGAAGCGTTTTCAGGTCCCCATCCTGAGCACATTTTAGCAGGAGGTGTCCATTCCTCTCCATTGCTGCAGTAGGCAGACTCCTTGGATTTTGCTCCCCGTTGGTCCTTTCAGTCTTCGACTTCTGCCAAACAACTTTATGTTTCCGAACGGAACTCGTGCCTGCCTCATCATCCGACGCGAGGAGGCTCTCATAGAACTTTTTCACCTCATCTCCAGTCAGGACTTCAATCCCGGGGCCAGGTGATGGAGATTTCCGACGTTCTCCGTTTTCCCAGGTGTCTGTTTTATCTTTGGCTCGGGTAAAAGTGATGAGGTTCATGTGATCCATGATGGAGAATGTTCTTCGCCTGCACTTGTGACTACTTAGGACTCATTTTGCTACTGGCAACGGACACTTCACATCCCAGAGACAACTGTTTGGAAAAACAAAAGTAAAATTAGCAATAACTGTCATTTTTTCCAAGTTGCAATTGAATAAATACAGAAACCAATCTGATAGGCGTAGCTACAGACACAAGATTAATAACAAATTGAGAATAAGATAAGTGAGGAATATTATGATAATAACATAGGAACATTAGTACGATATAGTGACAATAGCATATTAACAGTGTTATAGAGTCACACAGCACGGTAACATATCCTTCACTCCAACCATAGTCCTGACCTAAACTAGTCCCACCTGCCTGCACTTGGCTCATATCCCTCCAAACATTTCTTATTCATGTACCTATCCAAACGCTGTAACTGGACCTGCATCCACCACTTCCTTAGGAAGTTCATTCCACACATGAACCACTCTCTGTGTAAAAAAAATGTCCCTAATATTCTTTTTAAATTGTTCCCTTCTCACCTTAAAAATATGCCCCCTAGACTTGCGATCCCCCACCCGAGGGAAAGGACTCCTGCCATTCACTGTATCTATACTCCTCATGATTTTAAAAACCTCTGTAAGGTCACCGCTCCACCTCCTACAACTCCAGTAAAAAACAACCCAGCCTATCCAGCCTCTCTTTACAACTCAAATCCTCCATTCCTGGTAAATCTTTTCTGACCTCTCTCCAGTTTAATAATATCCTTCCTATAACAGGGCGACTGGAACTGCACACAGTGCTCCAGAAGAGGCCTCACCAACATCCAACAACCTCATCCCAACTTCAAAACTCAAAGGTCTGATACAGAAGGTAAAGGTAAAGTTGCACAGGCTCAGAGGTGAGCTTGCAAGATGGATAAAAAACTGGCTCGGTCATAGAAGACAGAGGGTAGCAGTGGAAGGGTGTGTTTCTGAATGGAGGGCTGTGACTAGTGGCATTCCTCAGGGATCAGTGTTGGGACCTTTACTGATGGTAATATATATTAATGATTTTCAGGAGAATGTAACTGGTCTGATTAGTAAGTTTGCTGATGACACAAAGGTTGCTGGAATTGCGGATAGTGATGAGGACCATCAAAAGGAAACAGCAGGGTATGGATCAGTTGGTATCTTGGGCAGAGAGATGGCAGAAGGAGTTTAATCTTGAAAAATGTGAGGTAATGCATTTCGGAAGGTCTAGTCCAGATGGAAAATATAAAGTAAATGGCAGAACCCTTAAGAGTAACGATAGGCAGAGGGATCTGGGTGTACAGATACAGGTCACTGAAAGTGGCAATGCAGGTGGAGAAGGTAGTCAACAAGGCATACGGCATGCTTGCCTTCAGCGGCCAGGGCACCGAGTTTAAAAATTGGCGGGTAATGTTGCAGCTTTAAAGAACCTTTGTTCGGCCGCACTTGGAATAACGTGTTCAATTCTGGTCGCCACACTTCCAGAAGGATGTGGTGGCTTTGGAGAGGGTACAGGAAAGATTTACCAGGATGTTGCCTGGTATGGAGAGCTTAGCTATGAGGAGAGGTTGGAGAAACGTGGGTTGTTCTCACTGGAACGACAGAGGTTGAGGGGTGACCTGATAGAGGTCTACTAGATTATGAAGGGCATGGACAGAGTGGACAATCAGAAGCTTTTTTCCCAGGGTGGAAGTGTCAGTTACCAGGGGCCATGGGTTTAAGGTGTGAGGGGCAAGGTTTAAAGGTGACGTATGAGGCAAGTTTTTTTTTTACACTGAGGGTGGTGGGTGCCTGGAACCTGTGGCCGGGGGGAGACAGTGGAAGCAGATACAATAGTGACTTTTAAAGGGCGTCTTGACAAATACATGACTAGGATAGGAAATAGAGGGATACTGTCCCCGGAAGGGTAGGGTGCATTAGTTGTGACGGGCAGCATGTCAGTGCAGGCTTGGAGGGCCGAAGGGCCTGTTCCTGTGCTGTAATTTTCTTTGTTCTTTGTCTGGGCAACGAAGGCAATCGTGCTAAACACCTTCTTAACCACCCTGTCTGCATGTGACGCAAAACCCTCACAGAATTGTGTAGCTGAATCCCTAGGTCTCCTTGTTGTACAAGACCATCCAATGCGTAACTTTTAATCGTATAGGCCTTACCCTTGTTTGTTTCACCAAAATGCAAACTCACATTCACCCAAAATAAATTCCATCTGATACTCCTCTGCTCATTGACACAACTGCTCAAGATTTATTTGTAACCCCAGACAGCCTTCTTCACCGTCTACTATACCACCAATATCGGCGACATTTAGATATTTATCACAGCGATATCGGTACAACGGGGCGATATTACCGCACTGACACAGGAGGCTGCTCCTAGCCTCCACCCGCCGCCATCTTGGATCGCCGCGGTGCACCCCGGGAGGGTGGGCGTGCACGCCGCGGGGCACCCCGGGAGGATATGGGCGGCCGCTGTGCACGCCGGGAGTTGTAGTTTTCTCTCCATCCCTCTCCTCCCGCGGCTTCCACCGACTGGTTTGAGGATCAGGGCGGTTCCGGCGATTAGGCTCAAACGGCAGGGACGTTGTCGCCCGGATTTTTTTTTTTTTTTTTCCTTCCGCTTGTCGGCTGTTTCGCCGCGGCCCGTCTTCCGGGTTTCCGGTTCCGGGTGAGGGGGTGATAAAGGTGAGGCGGCGGAGCCCGGATGTTGTTGCTATGGCGGCGGAAGGTGGAGAGGTAGGATGGAGGGTTATAGGGAGATACAGGACCGAAACTCCCCGGAGGAGGGAGGAAAGACTTTGGCTATTCACCCTATCCATGCCCCTCATGGTTTTATAAACCTCTATAAGGTCACCCCTCAGCCTCCGACGCTCCAGGGAAAATAGTCCCAGACTACTCAGCCTCTCCCTGTAGCTCAAACCCTCCAAACCCCAGCAACATCCTTGTAAATCTTTAATGAACCCTTTCAAGTTTCACAACATCCTTCCTACAGCAGGGAGACTGGAATTACACACAGTATTCCAAAAGTGGCCCTAACCAATGTCCTGTACAGCCCCAACATGACCCTCCCAACTCCTAAACTCAATGTACTCACCAATGAAGGCAAGTGTACCAAACACCTTCTTCACCGCCCTGTCTACCTGTGACTCCACTTTCAAGGAACTATGAACCTGCACCCCAAGGTCTCTTTGTTCAGCAACAGTCTCCAGGACCTTACCATTAAGGTGTATTAGTCCTGTCGTGATTTGCCTTTCCAAAATGCAGCACCTCACATTTATCCAAATTAAACTCCATCTCCTCGGCTGATCTGATAAAGATCCCGTTATACTCAGGTAACTTTCTTCGCTGTCTACTACACCTCCAATTTTGGTGTCATCTGCAAACTTACTAACCATACCTCCTATGTTCACATCCAAATCATTTATATAAATGACGAAAAGCAGCAGACCCTGCACCGATCCTTGTGGCACACCACTGGTCATAGGCCTCCAGCCTTTTTAAAAAAAAAAACTCTACTACCAACCCCTTCTGTCTTCTACCTTGAAACCAATTTTATATCCAATTGGTTAGCTGCTTCTAGATCCCATGTGATCTAATCTTGCTAACCAGTCTACCATGTGGAACCTTGTCAAACGCCTCACTGAAATCCATATAGACACTATTCACCGCCCTGCCTTCATTGGTTTTCTTTGTCACGTTTTCAAAAAACTCAATTAAGTTATTGAGACATGATTTCCTGCATACAGAGCCATGTTGATTATCCCCAATCAGTCCTTACCTTTCCAAATGTGTAGGAGGAGGAAGGGGAGAGAATGAGGGGAGGAGGGTTGAAGCCTCTGGAGTGTGCCTTGAATCTGTGAAGGACCTTGAGTTGCTGTCTTTCAGACTTGATGCTGAAGCAATGATTTCTTGGCTTGAGCGGCTGAAGCTAAAACTTGCCATGTTATTTTGTTAAAAGGAAAGAAGGGGCAGTGAATTGTCCGCTGTTCATCCCTCAATCAGCAGCAGTGCTCGGCAAAATAATTGGACCTTATTTAAATTAATTTCTTAGAGCAGGTTCACTCAATTGATTCCAGAGATGAGGGGTTTGTCTTATGAAGAGAGGCGGAGCAGTTTAGGCTTACGCTGTCTGGTGTGTAGAAGAATGAGAGGAGACCTACTTGAGGGGTAGAAGATGCTAATGGGGATTGAGAAAGTAGATGTAGAGAGGATGTTTCCTCTTGAGGAGCAATCTGGAAGGAGAGGTCATAGATTGGCCATGCTAAATTGCCCATAGTGTCTAGGGTAAGGGGTGGGTCTAGGTGGGATACTCTTCAGAGGGTCAGTGTGGACTTGATGGACCAAATGGCCTGCTTCCACACTGTAGGGATTCTATGATTTTAGGATAACGGATAGCAGATTTAAAACAGAGATGAGGAGAAATTACTTCTCTCAAAGAGCTGTGAACCTGTAGAATTCACTGCCGCAGTGGATGCTGAGACATTGGGTCAACTTTTCTTCATTCACAGGATGAGGGCGTCGCTGGCTAGACCAGCATTTATTGCCCATCCCTAATTGCCCAGAGGGCAGTTAAAAGTCAAACCACATTGAAGTGATCGATTTTTAATTAGTAAATAGGTAGAAGGATTATGGGCAGGAGAGTGGAGTTGAGGCTGAGATAAGATCAGTCAGTGGCATCAAATGGTGGAGCAGGCACAAGGGGCTGGATTGGCCATTCCTGCTCCTGGTTCTGATGTGGTTTTTTTATGGGGGCTTGCTGTGCAGAAACTGGCTGCCGTCTTGAAAATTTTTTTATTCATTCATGGCATGAGGGCATTGCTGACCAGGCTGCATTTATTGTCCATCCCTAATTGCCCAGAGGGCAGTTAAGAGTCAACCACATTGCTGTGGGACTGGAGTCACATGTAGGCCAGACCAGGTAAGGACGGCAGTTTCCTTCCCTGAAGGACATTAGTGAACCAGATGGGTTTATCCCAACAATCAGCAATGGATTCACGGTCATCATTAAATTCTTAATTCCAGATATTTTTATTGAATTCAAATTCCACCATCTGCCGTGGCAGGATTCGAACCTGGGTCCCCAGAACATTATCTGGGTCTCTGGATTAACAGTCCAGTGATAATACCACTAGGCCATTGCCTCCCCCAAAATTACTGACCTTTGAAATTCCACAGAGCATGCTGTAAGTATTGTGGGATATAAAAGCAATTTTGTTCTTTTATTCTGTTCACAGCCAGGAATTGGACTGTAGCTGTTCATATTCACGAGAACAAAAGAGAACCAGAGCCGAAATGGACTCTTCAGCCCATCAAACCTACCCCATCATTCAATATGACCATGCTAAGTGTTGGGTTTCAGCTCCACTCTCCTGCACCCATCCCATTTCCCTGGGTTCCCAGAGAGCAAAATTCCGTCTACCCCACGTTTAAAACTATTCCACGGTGGAGCATCCACCACCCTCCAGGGTAGGGAATTCCAAACATTCATAGAACCCTTTGAGTAAAGATCCCAGTACTTGAACAGTGGGCCTTTTGCATATGCTTTCCCTCTCTTCTGGGCTAGACACTTGGAGTTACGGTTTGTGTATTTGTTCTCTTCCCATCTTTGCTGTCTATCTCTGTCACTTTTGTGTTCTCTCTCACTTTCTCTGTTGAGGTTAGATGAATTCCCACAGCACTAAGTAAATTCTACTCTCTTGCTGCCTATCCTGTACAGGTGAAAGGTGACCAGGATGAGATGCCTGAGCTGAATCTGGGTGAACTGGACATAACATCCGATGAGTTTATCCTGGACGAAGTGGACAGTGAGCATTGCTTCTTTGAACTTAACTCACACAGAATTTCTTCATGGAATTAAATTGCTTTTACAGCGACTCTGCTATGTGCCATTGATTAGGATCACATGTATGATTGTAGAAATGAGGGTTTGTTGCAGTGTGGGCAATGAAGGTGTTTGATAGCAATACTAACCCCTTGGGAGAGTGCACTGATAGTCAGCCTTACTACTCCCAGAGTCACTGAAAAAGGTAATGATTGAATCAAATTGCACACAGTCTCCAGTTTGGCTGTCTGATAGAATCAGGTTATCAGGAAACACTGGCCACTTTCTGCATTTTACAAAAATCACTGTTTGTTAAGCTCTAGTCACAGGTAAAAGAAAACTATGTGCTATTAACATATAATTGTTACTTATATAGACTCTAACCCTCCCTTAAACCCTGGCCTCTGATGCTGAGAGGCTGCAATGCTCACCGCTGAGCTACTGTGCCCTGATGTCCTCCTGTTCTAACGGCCCACTATGTAACTTCTGTCTAATTTTAGTTCACAACATTCCTGGGACGTGTCTCAGGTTATTAACGTTAAAGGCATGATATAAGTAGCAGTGTTGTTGATGTTGTCAAGGGAGAGCACTCAGAAATGGGAGGGCTCTGAGGATAGATCCTAAGTGGGCCAGCTGTGGTAGTGCTGCCATTTTGTTTTGTTTACTGATCCACATTGTTTTGTAGGTTTGAGAATTCCTCCTGTTAATTCTGTAACGTTCGATCAATACTACAATGTGCCATTGACAGATAGCTGGTACAAAGCAACAGGGGCCCATCACCTGCCAAATGCAAGACAGGAGAACAATGTAGTCTCTTCTAAACAGGGGAAGGCGAAGCCACAAGCTGTCCAAAGCTGAGATCCAGCTCTTCCTGGTCATTGTTCAACCAGCACCCCACACAAGGTTTATTGAAGTTCAGAGAACCCACAAAGAAAGGTTAATGGAACGGGCAGATAGATATATCGACGCTGTGACACAAACCCAAAGGAATATGTATGGGGATGGGAATGTTGGCTGGCCAAGAAGGTTCTGCAAGTAGGGAACAAGTAGGTTCCTTGGAAATGTAAATGTAAGGGTCACAGCCAAGAATAATGGGCAGGCCGTTCAGGAATGAGATGAGGAAGAATTTCTTCACTCAGAGTTGTGAACCTGTGGAATTCTCTCTCACAGGAAGCTGTTGGGGCCAGGTCATTAGATGTATCCAAGAGGGTGCTGGATGTGGCTAAAAGGATCAAGGGGTATGGAGAGAAAGCGGGAATGGGATACTGAGATGATCAGCTATGATCATATTTAATGGTGGTGCAGGCTGAAAGGGCCGAATAGCCGACTCCTCCTACTTCCTGTGTTTCTATGTGAATGCAGGTGGGTAAAAGAGCAGTTGAATTTTTGGACCTTTTTTTGATCTTGTCACTCCGTGCTCTCGGTAGGTTTGTACAGTGTGTTGTTTGGGCTGCCGTTAGTGCTGGTGAATGCTCCTCTGAGTATTCTCTCTCAGAAGAGACTTGAGGACCATTGACGGTAGCTTGGACACGACGCAAAGTGGCAAGGAGAGACTTCACATACTGGGATGTCGACTGTGGAATAGGCAAAGCCAGGGAAAAAGAGACACCGATTGGACATTCAGAATCTAACCGTCTGAATTATCTGCTTTGGAAAATATTCCATTGAATGTTCAGTTAAGTAAAACTTGAGACATGGTTCTCCAAAATACCAGGGCCACAGGGCGAGGCATTTGTTGTCACTGGCACAGGACTAGTTTAACAGCATTGCCACCTTGCTTAATGGTATCCCTGTGGTCCGATCCCAGCACTGAGGCTGCCTGCATAACCCTCAGCCCCTAGTCAGGCCACTCTCTGTGCTGTTACCTTTCCTCTGCTCTGGTGTTTTATCTGATTGTCTGTGATCAGCAAGAACATTTGCCAAATACAGAAAAAGTTACTTGTTTTTAAATTTTGCGTGCGTGCATGCTGCTATGAATTCTCCCTTACACTTTGTCTCTCGTATCTCTTGAGCGTTGAATTTGGCTCGGGTGCTGTGATTGTACTGTCCAAAAGCGAGGAAAATCCTCAATCTGACCCAAACTCGATCCCGATTGTCGGATTGAGATCTTCAAATCCATGGAGAGTTGTTATTGATTGAAGTGGGTGAGAAATCTTATCAAGGCGACTTTGTGTAGGGGGGGGGTCAAACAATTCAGAAGTATAATTGGAAAGTGGGGACAAACGAAGGGGTGTCACAAGCTAGGTTGGCTTCTGGCAGGAGGCGTTGCAACCATGTTTCGGGAGATCATTTGCTGCTTTTAATGGAAAGCAAACAAATACTTGAAGGAGAGAGATTGAGGGCTGTGAGATGAGTGTTAGATATTTGCAGCAAAGGGTTGGCATAAACAAGATCAGCTGAATGGCCTCCTCCTCTGGTTCTGCTCTAGTTGTGAGACATCTGTTACAAGAGTTGTCCTTTTTCTTGTCAGTTTTCCTGTAGCTTTCTTAACAGAGAAGCTTCTGTTAAATTCCGTGACTACATTCCATGCCCAACCAAATAATCTGTGCCATTTTAAGAGCTGTGCTTTAATGAGCTGTTGCAGTAGCTGAAGGCAAATTGCAGTGCTGTGTAAGACAGGTTAAACACAGATGCTGCCAGACCTGCTGTGCTTTTCCAGCAATTTCTATTTTTGTCTGACTTACAGCATCCGCAGTTCTTTCAGTTTTTACTATTGCCTTTCGGTGGTGTTACTGTTCACCTTGTCTTGCAGGTACTGACTACATAAATAAGGTTAATTTCTGTGTTACAGCACATATACAAGCCAATCTGGAAGATGAACTGGTGAAGGAGGCGTTAAAAACGGTAAGTTCAATCTACCGAAGTTCAGGGAAGGAGCAGAGTTCTTTGTAAGATTAGATGATGTGGAGGCGCCAGTGTTGGATAAAGTCAGAAGTCACCAGGTTATAGACCAACAGGTTTACTTGAAGACACCAGCTTTCGGAGCGCTGCTGCTTTGTCAGGTGCGGTCACTTTGGAGCAGTGCTCCCAAAGCTCGTGATTTCAAATAAACCTGTTGGACTGTAACCTGTAGTCGTGTGATTTCTGAGTTTGTAAGATGATATAGGCATGGGTATCAAGAAGCAATGAATTATTTTCATATCGGGAATAAGTAGGAGAAATTTACCTTTGTACCCCAGTGTGTTTAAATTACATCTGAGACGTGACCTTTTTGCTAGTCCTTTTATGTCCTGTTAGAGTCACTCAATATCTTCTAAATGTCTCCAAAACATCTTCAGGATCGGTGTTATGGGGGTAAATTTTGAAATATCGCTCTGCTCCAAGACACAGGAACAAAGAAAATAGGCGCAGGAGTAGGCCATTTGGCCCTTTATGCCTGCACCACCGTTCAGTGTGATCATGGCTGACCGTGCAATCTCAGTATCCCATTCTCGCCCTCTCCCCATACCCCTTGATCCCTTTAGCCACACATGTCCAGCTCCTGCTTGAGTGGATGTAATGAACCGGCCCCAACAGCTTCCTGTGGGAGAGAGTTCCACAGGTTCACAACTCTGAGTGAAGAAATTCTTCCTCATCTCAGTCCTGAATGGCCTACCCCTTATTCTTACACTGACAAAAATCATTTATTTACGTCAAAAAAATAACTCTAGCACTGACAGTTGGAGAAATTTCTATTTAGCACCCAACAGAGAAGGACAGGGATAGTAGGAACTGCAGATGCTGGAGAATCCGAGACAACAAGGTGCAGGGCTGGATGAGCACAGCAGGCCAAGCAGCATCATAGGAGCAGAGAGGCTTTGAGTTGGCATATAATGGAGGGACAGCCCCAGTCTGTTTGTCAAATACTTTGTCCCTTACAACAGAGATTGTTACAAGATCATTCCCTCCCATTAAAACCTTGCACTTGTTTGTGACCTTTGTAATGTTTACAATACCACTACAATGAAGACCGATACAAAATGTTGGCTTAAATTCTCTGCCATTTTCCTGTTCCCGTTATTAATTCCTCTGCCATGTCCTCTGAGGATTGCACGCTTAATTTAGCTTAAGCACACCACCAGGAGGTTCAAGAACAGCTTCTGTGCCATTGGTAAAACAATGAACGGCTCTGTATTCTCAAACAATGTCAGTTTTGTTAATGTTGTTATCAAAGAAACATAGAAGATAGGAGCAGGAGGAGGCCATTCAGCCCTTCGAGCCTGCACCGCCATTCATCACGACTATGGCTGATCGTCCAACTGAGCAGCCACATCCTGCTTTCTCCCCATAACCTTCGATCCCATTCGCCCCAATTCTATATCTAGCCGCCTCTTGAATATATTCAATATTTTGGCATCAACTACCTGTGATAATGAATTCCACAGGCTCACCACTCTTTTTGGGTGAAGAAATGTCTCCTCATCTCCGTCCTAAATGGTCTACCCCGAATCCTCATACTGTGACCCCTGGTTCTGGACACACCCACCATCGGGAACATCCTCCCTGCATCTACCCAGTCCAGTCCTGTTAGAATTTTGTAAGTCTCTGAGATCCCCCTCATTTGTCTGAACTCCAGCGAAAACAATTCTAACCCACTGAATCTCTCCTCATATGTCAGACCTACCTACCCCGGAATCAGCCTGGTAAACCTTCACTGCATTCCCTCGAGAGCAAGAGCATCCTTCCTCAGAAAAGGAGAACAAAACTGCACACAATATTCTAGGTGTGGTCTCACCAAGGCCCTGTATAAGTGCAACAACACATCCCCTGCTCCTGTGCTCGAAACCTCTCGCAATGAAGGCCAACATCCCATTTACCTTCTTTACCACCTGCTGCACCTGCATGCTTACCTTCAGCAACTGATGCACAAGGACATCTTCCTCCCCCTTATTAATTCCTCAGTCCTGACCTCCAAGGGTCGCACACTTAATTCAGCTACTCTCCTAAATACCTGTTGAAGCTCTTGCTGTCTATTTTTATGTTTCTAGCTAGTTCACTTTCATCATTAATTTGGGGGCAGGCGGGGTGCACAACTGGGTGTGGATGTTAGAATGTAGAATCCTCCACAGTGGAGAAGCTGGCCTTTTGGTACATTGAGTCTGTGCCGACCCTCTTAAGGGCATCCCAAACAGACCCACCCCCTCTACTCTATCCCTGTACCCTGTACTTCCCACAGCCAATTTACCCTAACCTGCACATCTTTGGAGTGTGGGAGGAAACCGGAGCACCCGGAGGAAACCCATGCAGACACGGAGAATGTGCAAACTCCACACAGACAGTTGCCCGAGGGTGGGATCAAACCCAGGTCTCTGGCGCCGTGAGGCAGCAGTGCTAACCACTGAGCCACCATACCACCCCTAATGGAGAGTAATCACGAAGAACGTTCTCTGAAAGGGGTGTTCATTTCTCCAAAGATATGGTCAGATGCAAGGTATTGCAGTGTAGTTTGCACTGTTTTAATTACTTAATTTTATCAGCACTGTCTATGGCTGTAATTTATAAATAATAACTCCAGCTCCTAAACTCTCCAGCTGGGCTGTGCAGGTTGTTCTCACTCAGGGCAGGAAGTGTTGTTTTTAAACTCCAGCAAAGATTTGTCTCCGGTGGGAGTAATCTGCATGTTAACACCCTCTTCTCTACAGGGTGTGGATCTGAGGCACTACTCCAAGCAGGTTGAGACAGAACTACAGCACATCGAACATGCCTCCATTAAGGACTGTATCCTTTTGCTGACATGAACTCGCTGCCTCGCACCCCTGTGTCCCAACATGATCTTCCTGAATCCCCACAACCACCCCCCCACCCCCACCAAACAACCAGTACACCTCCAAGGAGATGGGGGTGCTGGGAGGTTTCGATTGAAGAAGTCACAGCACACGTTGTGAATGGATGGGTGGGGGTTCCAGGCTTTGGGGGTGCCCCAACTGTACTTTGCTGCTTTATCGGGCTGGAAGGAAGGAGCATCGGCTCACGGCTGAGGAGGTGGGCAGCCTGCAGGTAAGATGCAGAGCGAAAGCGGTCTGTCTGATCGCTATTACCGTGCTGCAATCGTTGGACAACAGTCTCTGAGACGCAGGCCACATTAGCAGCAGCGATGCTGGGAGACGTCAGCTTGTCTGGTCGCAAAGGATTGAAACTTACCCTGTGGCTGCGATGCCAATTCCCTCGTCAGGGGCCAGTGACGTAGTTTTCACGTTGGCCAACTGAAAGCTTCGCGATTTCCCCCGGGTTTTTCCGAACGTTGTCCCTGTTTTCCTGAGCAGCTGGCTGTAGACATTAAGGAAAGTCGGAACATTGCCAGCCTCCACAATCAGATCACAGCCTGTGACACCATCCTGGAGGTAGGGAGATGCTCAAACAGATGCCTTTTGGTTTGCATTCCTCGCCACTTAACTTCAACCGCTGGCAGCATATAATCGCTTTTATTTAAATAGAAATCTGTCCCCTGGTTTTGCTCGTGTAATCCTCCAAGTGATGGGTTCTGATACCTAGTCATAGAATCTCACAGCACAGAAACAGACCCTTCGGCCCAACCAGTCTGTGCTGACCAACGTCCCAACCTAAACTAGTCCCACCTGCCTGCTCCTGGCCAAATCCCTCCAAACCTTTCGTATTCATGTACTTATCCAAATGTCATTTAAACATTGTAACTGTACCCACACTTCCTCTAAAAGTTCATTCCACACACAAACCATCCTCTGTTTATCTAAAAAAAAATCTGCCCCCATGTCTTTTTTTAAACCTTTCTTCCCTCACCTTAAAAATATGCCCCTTTGCTTTTCACCTTATCCGTGCCCCTCGACCTGGTGAGCGTGAGTCCTCGTTCTGATTTTGTGAAGCTGCAGTTATTGCTGGTTTTGAGTATTTTGTGCGGTGTTTTTTTTTGTGTGAAAATGGCTTTGTTTCTCAATGGGGGGAACTGCCCCTCCCTGTCGAAGGGCTGTTGCCCTGGTTTGTCTGAAACGCCTTGCGTTGTTTCCGCAGCGGATGGAGCAGATGCTCAGCATGTTCCAGTGTGACCTCAGCAGTATCAGCTCCGAGATCCAGACCCTGCAAGAGCAGTCCATCACCATGAACATCAAGCTGAAGAATCGCCAGTCAGTGCGCAGTGAGTTGAGCCAACTGGTCGATGAGCTCGTCATCCCAAACTCAATGATCACGTGAGTCATTACCCTCGTTACAAGCTCTTCTTTCTTAACACTTTTTCCTTTCTCTATCAGTTTTGTTGGACTCGTGCCTCTGAGTTACAGGAGTGTCTAAGGAAACGAGGTAGGACTGAGATGGGGAGAAATGTTGAGCGGGGAGTCTGCGGAATTCACTATCACAGAAAACAATTAAGACTAAAACATTGAAGGAGTTAGATATAAATATAGTTAAAGATGGTGTTCTTAGGACTAAAGGGGTCAAAGGGTGTGGGGGAGAAAGTAGGACAGGAGGCTTGAGTCGGATTTTCAGCCATGATCATATTAAATGCTGTAGCAGGCTTGAAGGGCCGAACAGCCTACTCCTCCCTGTTTTCATTGTTAGGGGTTCTGGCTTCAAGTTGCATTTCCACATGATGTTGACTGCATCCCACCCACTGACTCTGTCACCCCATTTCTCCTGTCCCGAGGTATCCCAACAGTTCTCCCACTTCTAATGACTCTCTGTACCTAGCCTGGGCTCGGACAAGGTGAACCAAAACCTGTTCCTTTGGGATGTTGTACACGGAGCTCCCCCTTTTCTCCAGCTGTTTCCAGCACTCGTTCTTGAATGTCTCTCTGTGTGGGTTGCAGGGTGTGCGTAGCGAGGATGTTTTCCCCTGGCTGGTTAGTCTTGAACCAGGGGGCACTGTCCTGGGATAAACACAGGCCATTTAAGACCAAGGTGAGGAATTTTTTTATTTGGAAAGGGGAGGATTTCTTGGAACTGCCTACGCCATAAACTGTAATGGTGCAGGATTGAGACAGAAACTGATAGATGTTTCGCCATTATGAGGTATGTGGATATCGAGGAGTAATGGCAGCCAAGGTCTGTTTGAGTGCCAGTGTAGATTCGATGGGCTGACTGGCCTACCCCCGTTCCTGTTTGAGTGGATTATCGACCCAGGGTAGACGTGTCAGGTTGTGGGGAGAAGACTGGAGAATGGCACAGAGTGAATCGCTCATTGGAAAGGCTGGTGTGGATGGGCTGAATAGCCTCCTCATGTGCTGTAATGGGATTCTGTGCAGGGAATGAGTGATGCTGCCTACCCTGTGTGGCACTGCCTGGCAGATTGACCCACCCAGGTGAGCATCCACCACAACTCCAGCCAGACATTCAGAGACACTCTGCGAGTTTGTACAGTGATGGGAGGTCAGCCAGAAGTGAACTTGGGATCACACTGAGCACTGTTGGTTCGGTAATGACCTCGGTGTAACATTGAGCAGCCATAAGATGTAGCAACAGAAGGAAACCATTTGGCCCTTCGAGTTCTGCTCCTCCATTCAGGGAGACCATGGCTGATCTGATCATCCTCAACTCCACTTTCCTGCCTTTTTCCGTAACCCTTGATTCCCTTCCTGATGAAACATCTCTGTCTCAGCCTTGAATATCCTGAATGACCCAGCCCCCACAGCCCTCTGCGGTAAAGAATTCCACAGATTCACTCCCCTCGGAGAGAAGAAATTCCTCCCCATCTCTGTCTTCAATAGGTGACCCCTCATTCTGCGATGATGCCCCCCTGGTCCTAGACTCTCGCACACAAGGGGGAATCGCCCTCTCCGTGTCTCCCTAAAAATCTTGTACGTTTCAATAAGGTCGCCTCTCATTCTTCTAAACTCCAACCAATACAGGCTCAACCTCTCCTCAGCCCCTCCATCCCCATGATCAGCCAATTGAAAACACACGCACATGCTCACATGCGCGCACACAGACGTGCACACACTCACCAGCCCCTGTTTCCTTCGAAAGCTGGTAGTCTCTGACTGTGTTCTATTTCAGTACTGTTCTGGAGACATCAGTAACTGAGCAGCAGTTTCTGGAGCAGCTCCATGAACTCAATAACAAGATCAATTATGTGAAGGAGCAGTCCTTTAAGGAAACGCTGGCTTGTTCAGACGTGCAGGACACCCTCGACCGGTTGAAGATTAAGGTAACGGTGTTGCAGATTGGTCCTTGAGCATGAACTGTATGGAGAAGTGTTTTGTAGTTTGAAGAAGCGCGGTCTGTGCTGTGTTTAACTCGACCCTCAGTTACGTTGTACCTCAAAAGCTGAGCATCACTTGCAGCTTGTCGGTGCGATGCTGCACAGATCTGCAGCAAATCATCCAACGGTTCAGGCACAGAAATAGGCCATTTGGCCCATCGTACCAGTGCTGGCTGCCTGAAGGAGCAATTGACCTGGAACCACAATCAGGTTCCCCCATGCCCCAGTATGAATCCAAAGAACTTAGTTAAAATATACTCTCCCACCCACCTACCCCCTTCGTTTTTATTGTCAGTCAGCATTTCACTGAAGATTTGTACTAATTTGAAGGTGGTAGTTTGGAAGATGGCTGCGTTTGATGGGAGGGGAGAGGGATGGGGAAATCTTCACTGCCACTGAAAAGGATGAATTATTCTGATTTGTTCAGGCTGTTTCGAAGATCCGGGAATATATTCTGCAGAAGATCTACTCCTTCCGGAAGCCAATGACAAACTACCAGGTTCCACAGAATGCACTCCTCAAATACAGGTTAGAAAGCTACCTGCAGTGAGCACTGTACTCTGTTCTCCTACACGGTTACAAGCTTGCTGGCACATGGGAGTGGGTGGGTGAATTTCTGATTTACAGGCAAGAATAAAACTAAACACCAGACCTGAGAGGTTGTCTTCTGTCACTTTCTTTTTCTCTCTCTCTGTCTTTCTTTTTCACTCTCTGTCGCTCGCTCCTACCCCACCAGGTTTACAAACCAAGTGGGTCGGTTGAATTATCCTCCTGCTGGTGCTCATCACCTGTTGCGGTCACACTCTTGCAGGTTTTTCTACCAGTTTCTGCTGGCGAACGAGCGGCACGTGGCCAAGGAGATCCGAGACGAGTATGTTGACACCATGAGTAAAATCTACTTCTCCTACTTCAAGTCGTACACCAACAGGCTGATGAAAGTTCAGGTCAGGCGCTCTGCCGCGTGGCGCCCGGTATTTACCGTCACTTCCTCCAGCAGAATGTGGAGTGTTGCTGACTCACAGCTCTAGCCTGTATGAGGAAGCCCTACTGGTTTCTTGGGAGTGGGGGGTTGGGGGCGAGCGAGCATGTGAGGTGGGGAAGGTTCTGTGTGAATGTGACCCTCAGTGCTAACTACCTTCTCTGGTAACTGAGTGTGGTGATGGGGAAGGAGGAGCCGTTTTGAGATTAATGTACCCACACTGCTGTCTCTCTCTCTCTCTATCCCACTGTAGTATGAAGAGGTGGCTGACAAAGATGACCTGATGGGTGTCGAGGACACTGCAAAGAAAGATATCCTTTCCCGAAGCTAAGGCTGTATTGTTACCGTCTGGGGTTAGTTTAATGACCATGAGTGTGAGCATTGACAAGCCCAAGCCTGCTTTATGTAACTGAACGTCGAAGGGACGCCCACAGCATGAGTACATAATGCCGTCCTGTAATTGAAACAATCCGGCAGATTGATCACAGTGTGGCCTTGTCAGAATGTCCATCCAGATACCTCTTCAATATTGTTAGGGTTTCTGTCTCTCCTACCCTCACAGGCAGTGAGTTCCATATCCCTAATGGGTGGGGGGGGATGTGAAAAGGATTTCTCCTCACGTCCGCCCCTAAACCTCCTGCCCCTCACCTTCAATCGCTACCCCCTGGTTATTGATCCCTCCAGCAAGGGGAGATGTTCCTTCCTGTCCACCCTGTCTGTGCCCCTCACCATTTGATACATCGCAATCATGTCTCGATCTCCTCTGCTCCAAGGAAAACCACTCCAGTCTGTCCATCCCTGAAACTCTCCAGCCCAGGGCAAACATCCTGGTAATGCTCCCTCTCCAGTGCAATCACGCCCGTCCTATAATGCAGATCCAGGCCAATACATCTTCGCTGCACCCCCCCACCTCACCCACCTGCCCCCAGTGTTCCAGGTGTGGTCCTCGAACCCTCTCGCTTATGAAGGCCACTGTACCATTTGCCACCTTCCCAGCCTGCTGGTTACCCTCAGTGACACCCGTGTACAAGGACACCCGGGTCTCACTGCACCCCCATCCGCCCCCGCCACTTTCCCAATCCATCGCCATTTCCGACAATGATCCACCTTCCTGGTTTTTGCTAAACCTCATATTTATCCACATTCTACCTCCACTCCACTCCCTCAAAAGCACGTGAAACCCTCCCAGTTTCAAAGGTGCCTGCAAAGTAATTCTAAATTTATTAACGCGCATTTTCCAGTGATAACTGCCGATTGAGTTTGCTTTCTGGATGCCAGTTGATTTTGGTTACACTCTCAGATGGCTTGCCTTTTCACTGAGCGGAGCTCGGGGGAGTTGCTCGTTGAACGGAAACGATTACAAATGAAAGGAGAACCATGAGCCCTCGGGCTAATGCATGTACAAGTCTCCACAGCGCGATTGCAAAGTATACATACATCCCCATCTCCCAGCCAGTGTTTATCCCACCATCAGGATAGTTTCAGAAGAAAAATTATGTTGCTGCGTGCCATTCGCGTTCCCTGTATTTACAGCGACAACGTCCCTTCAAAAGGTGCTTCCTAAGGCCCTGTCGAGACGTCCAGTGGTCATACAAAACCTGAAGTTTAATTAATTTTACAAGCGATGGGAGCCCAACAGGGTTGATGTGTCTCTACCCCCTTAACTCTGTCCAAGCTTTTTCTCCAAACCGTCGTTGAAGAATCGCAACACCATTTTTACGCTGGGGAACCGCGGCAATGTTATCTCGTCGTCGGAACTGGAAGCACCAATCATTGTGCCTCATGCTGCTCAGAAAAGTGACACCCGGGTAAGTGTGCTTCACCTCAAGTGAGGGGATTGAAGTGAGCTACAAGACGCCCCCAGTTTCTTGAGGCAGGACCCATGTTAGCCACTAACCTCCTTCCTTGCCTTCGTCACCAGACCAGGTTTTGAGTAAAGAATGAGAGACTTTTTTTTTCACCCCAGTGTCATCGAACAGAGCGTGCTTTAATGTCAGGAACATAATGGGAGCAGGATTGGATTGTACAGTCTGCTCTGCCTTTCAGTGTGATCATGGCTGGCCCACACCTTATGTCTAAGTTAGTCGGAGTTCTGTAGTTAATCCATGATCTCTCAGTGGCAGCACAGAATCAATGGACCGAATGGCCTACATCTTATGGTCCAAGTGAAGTTTGCACTTCCCACTGCCACGAAGAGGCTGCCAACATCATCAAAGACCGCTCCCACCCCAGTAATACACATTTTCAGCCTCTTCCATCAGGCTGAAGATACAGAAGCTTGAACACGCGGACCAGCAGGTTCAGGAACAGCTTCTTCCCTGCTGAATGGACCCCTCTCATTTCAGTCTCATGTGGATCTTGCTTTGTGCACTCCCTGTGCAGTGTAACCCTGTACGCCTCACTATGTCTACGCACCCTATGGTCTGTATGTCTTTGTTCGCTGTGATCTTCCTGTGCTGCTTGCAAATCAAAACTTTTCACTGTACTTAAGTACATGTGACTAAAGTAAATCAAATCAAAATGGAAGGGTTGATGCCGAAGATCACCCATGATCATATTGAATGGCAGAGCAGATTGAATGGGCTAAAAACTGTAAGAAGCAGGCCACTCAGCCCATTTGAGTCTGCTCTGCCTTTCAATGAGATCACAGCTGATCTGATCATCCTCACCTCCACTCTCCTTCCTTTTCCCCCATCAACCTTGATTTCCTGATTTAAAAATCTCTATTGCAGCCTCGAATGTGCTTAATGACTCAGTCCCGATAGCCTGGCATGGGTCAATTTTCGGAGAGATCTCGTTCTCAGCTTTAAATACACTCAACAATACAGTATCCCTGCATTTGAAGACATTCTCCTCCTCTCAGACTCAAATGATTTGGCCCCTGTTCCTGAGAACGTGCCCTCACGCTGCAGATTCCCCAACCCCAGGGGAAGCAAGCACTCTGTAGTTACCCTGTCAAACTCCCTCATTTCAATTATTTTTTTCGTTATTCATTCACGGGATGAGGGCGTCGCTGACCAGCCAGCATTTATTACCCATCCCTGATTGACCAGAGAGCAGTCAAGAGTCAACCACATTGCTGTGGGTCTGGAGTCACATGTAGGCCAGGCCAGACCAGGTAAGGATGGCAGTTTCCTTCCCTAAAGGACATTAGTGAACCAGATGGGTTTTTCCCAATAATCGACAATGGATTCATGGTCATCATTAGACCCTTAATTCCAGATATTTATTGAATTCAAATTGCACCATCTGCCATGGCAGGATTGGAACCCAGGTCCCCAGAACATTATCCAGGTCTCTGGATTAACAGTCCAGTGATAATACCACTGGGCCATCACCTCCCCTTCAATGAGATCACTACATATTCCTCTCCACTTCAGGGCACATCGACCCAATTTACTCATCCTGTCCTAGCATGTTCTGAAATGTGGGCCTAGAACATAGAACAGTACAGCACAGTGCAGGCCCTTCAACCCACGATGTTGTGCCCAACTTTTACCCTAAACCTAATGCCTATCTAACCTCCACCCCTACCTTATACTATCATCCATATGCCTATCTAATAGCCGCTTAAACGCCCCTAATGAGGCCAGTTCCACGCCCGGACCACTCTCTGAGTAAAGAACTGACGTCTCCCCTATATCTACCTCCACTCACTTTAAAACTATGCCCCCTCGTAATAGCTACCTCCACGTCAGGAAAATGTCTCTGGCAAATGTGTGTGCTAAATACATTATATTTTAGGGTTTGGTGGGTGGATGCAAGTCAGTTCTGTGAAGGTTTTTATTTAAAACCAGTCAGATGGTCATTTGAACAGTAACCTCAATGCACCAGTTCCAAGATAGCTCCTGATGACAGTCAAGGACCTGGGAGAGCTCTTGTCCTGTTAATGGGTTCATTTTTAGGCTGCTTGGTTTATGACGAAGTGTAGACACATTAATGCAAGAAGTTTAGTTTTGACATCAGGGCAGAAAGTTCAAGGTCTCAGTTCAAAAGAGCCCAGGCTTCAGTCCAGCCACTCGGAATCCGGGCAGTTTGGGGGAACCACTATCCTGACTGAAAACATTTATTTTTAATGTAGAGCTCCGAAACCAGGAAAGCTTGTTTCAGAGTCTTCACATAGAGAACCTTTAGGACACCACAGTCATGAAGGCTTGATGTCATCAAATTTTGAAAGGAATCATCAAATTTTCTCTACATTCCAAGGCAAAGGAATTGGGAAGATTGCATTTGAATAAAGATTTGTCTTTGGAATTCAGTATCTGTAAAGGGATAGTGCTGGGGAACAGAGTGAAACTTTATTTTGGTATTTATTTGTGTGACCATCTTTTTGATTTTGTTTTTAGAACTAGAAAACACAAACCGATAATTTGTCTGCCCTCTCAGGTGGACGTGCAAGATCCCATAGCAGTGTTACGAAGCAGGATAAAGTTACTTATCCCTTGTATTCCGGCCACACCTTTATCCCTGATTGCACCTAGGGAATGAATAGGTCGCCTGGTCATCACCACATTGCTGTGGGATCTTGCTGTGCGTCAGTTGGCAGTTGTGTTCCTGCATTACAACAATGTCTTCACTTCAGAAGTACTTCCTTGGCCATTTTGAGATGCCCCCTGATCGGGAGCAGTGCATCCAAGTGTAAATATATTTTAGCTTTGTTTATTCCCTCTGTGGAACAAACCTGTGTTCTCTCATTAGAGTGTCTCCAGCCTCGTGTGAATCTGTACCAGTAACTAGCCACCACATTAACCATCTGTAACAGTATTTCACTCTGCACTCTCTGATGTCCAGTGTTACCATCAGCTGGCATCGTAATGATTGCCCGAGTGCCAAATAAAAGTCAGTTTTGTGTTGTACCTCCGTGGTTCGTTAGGAATCGATAAGAATATCCGAACTGATTTTATACAAACTTTTGTTGAGAAGCTCCCTGGGATAGAGCTGGTTGAAAACTAGTTCTCTCGAAGTTCAAGAGTTCCGCCTTGCTGCCCCTGCTTTACTTTTGTTTTATAACATCTGACATGTTTCTAAAGTGTTCTTGTTGATTTGCTGCATTACAGATGTGCCAAAAAGATGCATAAAGTTTTATTACTGAAAAGCCCAGAGGACATTAGTCTAAGGCAATGTATTTGTCATCGGTTTCTCCAATAATTGATAATTAACTGCTGACGTCTCCATCTTTCATTCTTCAGTATCCCTTTGAGAGTCTGTTCCGTAGTCAGCACTACGCACTTCTCGATAACAGCTGCCGCGAGTATCTCTTTCTCTGTGACTTCTTCATGGTGACTGGGAACTCTGCACAGGATCTCTTCAACGCCATCATGGGAAAGACCCTCACCATGTTCTTGGTAATTTAAAACTGACTGAACAAGTCTGTAGCCATCCGGATATCCATGTGTATGCTTTTACAAAGTGAGATCATTCTACCTTACAGAGAAGAGACCATTTGATCCTCATGCCTACGTTGGGTCTCTGAAATGTAACCAATCACTCCAACTCGCCTGCTCCCCACACCCTGACCCCCCCGCCCCTCACCCTCCCAAAATATTGTTTCCCCAATTATCTTCACACAATTTATTGAGTCTGGGTCCACATGGAATACATAACAAGGCTCAGGAGTAGGCTATTTGAGCTCTGCCTTTCTGTACCATCATGGTCGATCACATCTTGGATTCAACTCCACTTTTCCTGCCCATTCCCCGTAACCCTTCAACCTGTTACTGATTAAACATCTGCATCCTGCTTCATTTTACACAGTGGCCCAGCAGTCATCGTGCTCTGGGGGAGTGAATTCTACAGATTCTTTGAATGAAGTAACTTCTCCTCATCTCTGTCTTAAATCTGCTGTCCCTTATCCTAAAACTATGACCTCTCCTTCCAGATTGCCCCTCAAGGGGAAACATCCTCTCTCTATGTCCACTTTCTCAGTCCCCCTTCAGCATCTTCTATCCCTTAATTAGATCTCCTCTCAATCTTCTAAACTTCAGGGAGTGTCGGCTTAATCTACTCAGTCTCTCTTCATAAGACAAACCCCTCATCTCTGAAATCAATTGAGTGTCCCTCCTCCAAACTACCTCCAATACAACGACCTCTCTCCTCGAGTAATGAGAGCAAAACTGTACACAGTGCTCTAGGTGCAGTCTCACTAATGCCTTGCACAGTTGCCTGTCCCTAATTGCCGAGAGGGCAGGTAAGAGTCTACCACATAGCTGTGGGTCAGGAGTCATGTGTAGGCCAGACCGGGTAAGGATGGCAGTTTCCTTCCCTGAGGGACATCAGTGAACGAGATGGGATTTTCCAACAGTAGGCTGTTGGATGGTCACCATTAGTCTAGTTTTTTTTGAGTCTTTACGTTCAGTCTCAGAGTGGGGGGGTGGGGAAGTAGAATTTGAACCCACATCCCCAGTACATCAGCCTTAGATCCTAGATTACTGTGCAGTGACATTATCGCCAGCTCCCCAAAGTCTACTAATCAGGAAACTATCATCAGTTGTTCCAAAGCCCCATCTGGTTCATAAATGTCCTTCAGGGAAGGAAATGTGCCATCCTTACCTGGTCTGGCCTACATGTGACTCCAGGCCCACAGCAATGTGGTTGACACTTAACCGCCCTGTGGACAATTAGGGATGGATAAACAATGCTGGCCAAGCCAGAAATGTCCAACTTCCATGAACGAAATTTTTATTTAAAAAAGCAAGTTGTGGTAAAAAGAACTTTGGATGTCTGTGTGGAGATTGAGCAAACGAATATAACTCCGAAATCCCACCCTGAATGTGGCTTTCTGGGGATTCTGTACATTGCCATTTTGTACGTGCCTGTGTGTGCGCATGTGTGTCTCAGTGTGTTTTCTCTGAAGCTCACCGGCACCAGGTGAGAGTCCTCAGCGGTTCACAGGCGCAGTGTTCCTGCCTGCCGCCTTGTTAGGTTCAGCACTTACAGAATGTTCCCACCCCTGCCTTTGAATTGGTGCCTATAAAGAATTTCTCGTTTCAGAAACACGTGCACACCTACATAGCAGATTGCTTCGACAGCATTGCGATCTTTCTCTCCATTCACATCATTCTCCGCTTCAAGACCATCATGGCCAAGAGGAACGTGCCAGCTGTCGATAAGTGAGTCACTTAGTAGCTGATGCATTTAGACAGGCAGACCAAAGGGTCTTTGCAGTACTGTCCAGATCCTGGCGCTCTGGCTGAAAAGGAATTGCACTCTCTGAACCTTCGAGAATTGCATGTCAGCTCTGAAACGTTATTTAATGCAGAAACATTGCAAAATAGGACCGACAAAAGGCCATCTGGCCCTTTTGAGAGTGCTCGCTGTCCAGTAGGATTCTCGTTCTATTTTACTTTAGCCGTTCCACTGTTGCTGAGCATCCTTTATGAAGTGCCTTGAGGTAAACCACACTGCCGTGTAAGTCACCATGATGCAGTGCCTAGCAGTTTGCATTTGTATAGGACCCATCATAATCGTGTCCCCAGGTACTTTGCAGGAGAACTTATTGATTTTCGTGTAGATCTGTAGCTCGGGTTGTGGGTGTTGAGGTTGGTTGGCTCGCCGAGCTGGTTTGTTGTTCTGCAGACGTTTCGTTACCATGCTTGGTAACATCCTCAGTGCAGCCTCTGATGGAGCGTC